TCGTTTTCCTGCTGAGAAGGATGAACTGCTGCCGCGGGGCTCCGTGCGCGCCCCTGTCCCGCCGGCGCCGCCGCAGTTCAGCGTGGCCTCCTCCCATGGGGCTGGTGACACCGCAGCCCCGTTACGAGACAGCAGCTAAAAGCGCCTTCCTGAGGGAGAGACCGGGGAATGACAGCCAAGTGCATCTATTCTACAGAGAACGAAGGTTCTAAATGAGCTCACTTGATTGCCTCGATCTCTGGGTACTGAAAATTTAATTCTATACTTGGGAGTTCTCACTTGGCACCTGTATAAAAGCGCTGCACTGGGGCACCCTCCATCGAGGAGGGGCTGGAGGCTGGTGGGTGTCTGGGCGTCATCGGGGTCCTGTCTGCACTGCCCCGGGCCTGCAGCACCCTCTCAGCAGGGCTGTGCCTCCTCAGCCTGTACTCCGGCAGCTGCTGAGACCCAGGTGCCGTGTGTCTGTGTCGGCAACGCTGCATACCTGAAACCTTTAGATCCCGCAGGTTCGGCTTTCGTTGAGTCCAGCAATGTTCCAACTGCGTGGCTGATCGGCGCCCCACACAGAGGGACGGAAGGTGGTCACCGGCCGTATGCCAACAAGCCTTTTGAAGCTGGCCTCGTGAAGCTGGCTCCATCGCCCACTGCCAGCGATGGAGGGCCCCCCACCATCCTGCCATCAGGGGGCCCTGACACCCTGCAGCTTATCTGCAGTAGCGTTCTCTTCCTGCAAATGTCATCCACCTCTGAGAGCCAGACCGAAGGCAACATCGGGTCAAGCTGCATGATGGCAGAGCGACTGGAGGGCTGCCAAAGCCAAGCCAGAGGCTGGCCCCACAGAGGGAGACTGCAGGGGCACCTGCTGGGGAAGAGGTGAAGATGCAGAACCTCACCTGGGGTGTGCCTGCAAAGGGCTCCCAGTAGTGACTACCACCAAGATTTGGTGACAGCTCCCTTCTGCCACAACAATGACAGCCTCCAGAGACTGCTTTCTGTCAGAGTCCAGTATTCTCTGACCAGGCTTTCTTAGATACTCCACACATGGAGTGTCCAATGTTTAAAACAAAGTTTATTCATTTAAGGCTATTTGCATTTACAATGGTTTTCCATTTAGTAGGGTGATACAGCAATCACAGTATAAATGCACACTACATTTTGCAGACTATTGCATTTCCAGTATACTGTGGAATTACAATATAGTTGTGAATCTCATTACTGGTCTCTAGAATATGCTCATTGTCACAACGCTGACTGTCCCTAATTGGCAGGAAGGGATATGTGGGTTGCAGCCAGCTCAAGCCTGTAGCTCTCTCTTAAGAGGTCCTTTGTTCATTGTTTTTGACATTTTTGTATTTATTGTTGGGATGAGACACATACACACTCCCTATGCTGGTCTGCTTGAGGTTATTGCCACGGAGTCTGCAATGTGAAGTCAGTGTCCCATCTCTTCCCACATCATGCCTGTACTCTCTGCTTCTTGCTATAACTTCTCCAGGCCTTCAGCATCATGTCAGGCCTGTATTTCTCACACTGTGTCCTTGTGCCAAGTGCTGCAAATACCTCATTCAACATAGAGCAAGTGCTTCCAACTATTCTTGTTACAAAATTATAGTTATACTAATCAAAAGGAAAAATAAAAGAAACAGACATATCAGTTTTAAATTTAGCTGTTGCAGATAACACAAGTAAAACAAAGTTGAAAGTGGAACGAGAAACGTTCACACAGAGCAAACTTCATAGTCTCCAGCTTGAGGCCTTGTAAACGCAGTATAAAGTTGAGCCATTACTTCTTTTAAGTGCATCACATAACTCATATAAAACACAAAACTATTATACTTGCTTTTCTAAATTACTTTGATAAGGTGTACAGCCAAGTTGAGAACTCTTGCAGCTAAAGAGACCTAAACATGCACCATGGTGGGGAAAATAGTTCTTCCCTTGTCACCCTCTGGGTCTGGTGGAGTGAGCCTATACGTACATGGAACTTGAAGGTACTGCCACTGTGGAGTGAGGTCCTTCTGGCAGGACACATAGCTCAGCTTCTCAGACTTGTCTGAGAGTTTTTGGTATTTGCACTGCTCCAACTGTTAGTCGTAGATGGAGTCACAGCAGGCAAAGTCCTGTGCTGAAAGAGTGACAGGGCTCTGCAGAAAAGTGTAAACCAATAAACTAAACAGCTCTTACAGTTACCTGCATAAATTTTTTTTTTTAAAGTTTATATTGATTGGAGTCATAGAGTCATAGCATTAAACACACCTAATGCATACGCAAGTTGTGTTGTTTTAACAATAAGCATACCCTAAAACTAGTTAAGGGTATACTGTTCTGCTTAAAATCTGCATTTCCTTAGGCCAGGGACAGACAGTTATACAGCTATTCTTTATGCTTAGCTGATTCAGACAGTCTGTCTGAAACAAAGGCATCCTCTTGTTCCCTCTGGTATTGAAATAAGTTTGACTTCTTTTGCAACTTGTGGTCAGTCACTCCACTATTGTCCCCTAAGCCGCAAGGACATGGAGCCTCTCCTTAACTCCTTAACTCCTCAGAGCATGCCTCACCTGCCTGTGTGTGGTGTGGGGCAAAGAGGTCTTTGAACTGGTCACAGCCCTGTGACTGCAGCAGGAACTGGGAGCTTCTTTGGAGCTCACCAGATACTAGCAACTCTCCTGAAGCCTGCTGTCCTGATGAGCATGAGGAGATATGAACTGGACAACCAAGCCGCTGCTGGGGACACATAGCTCCTTCTTCATGCGTCTCACCAAGCAGCTCCTCCATGAGCTTATCAGCTTTGCCCAGTCCTCATGCAGGATGGGTGCCTACAACCGCATGTGCTCTTGGTAAGCATGAAGGAAGCTTCCCCCTTGGTCTCACTGAGCCTGGCAGCTGCCACAGTGGTGACCACAGCTCTAGCAACAGCCCCAAATCCATCCTGGACCAGTAGCCCTTGGATCCCTGGGCACAAGGAGCTTCCCAGCACTTCATACACCATCATCCATAAGGTTCCTGTAGTGTCATCGTTCCCCAGCACCAGTGGGGAGGCTCTGTTGATGGAGTGTGTCCAGCATGTCCATATGTCCAGCTGGAGCTATGATAAAACAAGTAGGGTCTTCTTTCCACACTCCTTATGGCAAAGGAGACAAGCTGGAGCTGTTGTAGGTGCTCCCCCACTGCTCCTGGAAGGAGATAGAGCCATGGGGGAGGCCAAGGGAGAACATGGCTGGTTGATGTGCCAGGGGCTGCAGCCAAACCTGCTCTGGCTCCCAGCAGGAGTAGGCAGTGCTCACCTGGAGTCCCCACCTGCCCAGAAAGAGGGCAAGCATCTCTGAGGCTTGTTCCCACCATGGCAAGAGGTAGCTGTGACTCCAGTACTGGGAAGGAGTGTGAGATCAAAGCCATAGTGTCAGCAAGATGGTCAGAAACCAGAGACAGGAGCAGG